CTTTAGACCACTGAGCCATCTCTCCAGCCCTAGGAAAAAAATTTTAAACTCAGCTATCACAGATAAGTAGCTGTAAAAAAAAAAAGTGTTTCATAACTTTTTATCTTGGTGAGAAAACTTTATTATTTCTAGAAAACCTTTTGCTGGTGACTAATTTACTGGAGGTGTCTCCCATAAGACTAAGATTAGTGGGACTTTCCATTAATGAACAAGGGTTGGCTAATAATATAGGCACCTGCTTCCTTATCCATCATAGCTTTTTCTTTTTCTTTTTCTTTTTTTTTTTTTTTTTTTGGCTGAACCAGGGATTGAATCAGGCCCTTGTGCTTGCCATGGAAGCACATAATTTTTCTACTGAGCCATCTCTCCAGCCCCCTCATCATAGCATTATTAAAAAATGTATTTAATACAGGGTCTACAGGGTCTCACTACAGACTGAACTCATAGTGATCCTCCTGTTTTCAGCCTCCCAAAAGTTCGAATTACAGATTGCTGGCACATACCACCATGCCCAGTCTCAGTAGTTGTCTCAGGGCATGGGGGGAGGGAAGGGAAATATGTCAGTAGGACACACTGTGGATTGAACCTAGTCCCTTTGCCTGCCTAATCAAGTGCTTTAGTCTGCTGAGCTATCTGGCCAGCCCATCACCACAATTTTAGGGGGGAAAAATGAAAAAAGAATTGAATTTTTTTTCTCTATTTAGGACAGGGTTACAGGGTCTCACTACATAGACTGGACTCTAGTGATTCTCCTGTTTTCGGCCTCCCAAGTGCTGGGATTACAGGCATGCACCACCACGCCCAGTCTCAATCAATATCTCAACAGCCAGCACACTGGGGATCAGACTGAACTGCTGAGCTCTGCCTAAGCAGGTGAATTAATCCACTGAGCTATCAGGCCATTCCAAAGAATTGAATTTAAAGCAGAAATTTTTTTTAAAAATTTTATTTATGTGTTTGTGTGTGTGTGTGTGGCCAGCTCAGCTCACCAGGGGGTGGGGCTGGCTGGCATGTGGTGCTGGGGGATTGAACCGTGGTCCCTGTGCTTTGCCAAGCTTATTCTAAGTAGGTGCTTTAGACCACAGAGCCATCTCACCAGCCCCCAGAAAATATTTTAACGGAGACCTCATTTCACCTCACAAAAGATCGATAGACGATGACTAAACATGTGGAAAGATATTTAACATCATTAATATAAACAAATACAATTAAAACAAAGGAAGTGCTGAGTGTACCCTATGCCCCAGATCGTTCGGAGGCTGAGGCACAAACACTGGTAGAGTCCAGGAATTCAAAACCCATCTGGGCGAACAGACCCAGAGCGCAGGCCCGGCGAGTGAGTGAGACCACCAGGGCCTGGCGGGATCCTGAACAGACCCAGAGCGCAGGCCCGGCGAGTGAGTGAGACGACCCGGCCCGTGGATCCTCATTCAACCCAGCCTGCAGGCCCAGCACGGAACCCTTCAGCAGAACTCCCTGCAAAGAGGCTAGAGGCAAGACCCACCCAGCTGATTCAGGAGAACATCTTGCCAGAGTGACACAAAGGGTTCAACTCTAACGGCTGCAGCAGGAAGAAGTGGAGCACACAGCCAGAACCAAACAACACCCACCTGGAGGAATCGGAACTTTGTAGATCCGGACCAGGTGCTAAGGTAATAACTCTATCTAAGCT